ACTTACCAGCATTTTCTCCCCCTAGATTACTATAATCCAGAATAATAGCTTTCTACTTTTTTGATAAAATTTGCAGTAATCCTGGGCCCTCCCTGGTGGCACAACAGGTTAAATCGCAGGCTGCACTGTGAAGCTAGCAGCAGCTGCTTCAGTAAGACTTCAGTCCCCACCCTGAAGTGACCTACATGGTACAGCAGACCTCTCCTGTCTCACCCACTGCTCCTCTCAGCTGTGTATTTCATTGATCTGCCTGTTCTGCTCCTCTCTCTGTCTCTGGTGAATCTTCTCACCACCCCTGCAACTCTAGCCTGTACCCAGTTCTGTATGCATAAAAAATAAATATATATTTTTTTAATTTGCAGTCATCCTACAATGCTATTTTTCAGATGCTTGTATCTTAGCAGGCTGACCTGCTAGTATATCATGTGATTGACTATCTCAATCTAAAGACAACCTTAATTTCTGTGGGGTGGGGCACTTCTTGCAGATATTGAAAAGAGGTGTGAATATTTTTCACTTTAGGGAAAGGATTCATATTTTTCAGAGTAAAAAAAAAATGGAAACTTTCATAAATATTTTATACTTTACCTATCCTTGTCAAGTGGATGCCTTCCTGATCTAAAATAAAACTTCAGCAAACTTTAGATACACAAATTTTGTATTTTAGAGACACAAGTATCCTTAAAGCTAGAAAGCTATTTATAGTATGAGATATTAGGGAGCTGAATTCTGCCATATATTTGACTCCATTTTCAACATTATTGGAAATCAGCACTAATAAGGAGCAATAGAATTTATTGGCGGCAACTGCTGCGGTGGAGTCACTAGATCCCTGCATCACAGATGTGACAAATATGAGACCAATCTTTGCCTCAAGGCAGTACAAACTGTCGACCTGTCTGGAACCATTCATTACCAGTGAGTTGCTTATTTCCCCTATCTTTCTTTTTTACTGGAACTGTTCTTTATATATTGAAAAATATCTTTTTGTGTAAAAAGGACAGGGAATTTTTTTTACTAAGACAATCAACATATACATATCTATGCACATTTATTTTCACACATCCAGCAAGAAGCAGAACAAACAAAACTCAAACTTCAGGATCCTCTTCATTCCAAAGGGATAACTGGAATACTATAACTGGAATATTAATTGTATGACCCTCTCTGATGCTGGGGAAGGTAAAGAAAAATGGTAACAATATGTGGTTTGGGTTTCATCACATTAAGATACTGCATAAGTAATGACTAGGGCCTACATATGTAGCTACCGTTACCAAAATTTGCAAGAAAAGGAGACAGCAATGAGTTTTACAATATCCAGAAACAGTCTGGTTTTATATTTATTCTGTCCTGGTAAAGAACTGGATGGTCAGATCTAAAGGCCATGGACATGATACATGCAGCAACTACTCAGTAGTAGTAAGACCTGATCAGACTAGGTAGAAAAAATAATGTCATTTTAAATAATCACGTACTTTGAAATATATTATGATCCAATCACAGTGAACTTTCATTTCCTTAAATCATGTACTATGTTACCTCTAGACTACTTCCCATGCTCTCTTTATTTCCAAATCAGAAACCATTTTCTCCCTTTTTATCTAAACTTCCCTAAACTTTTTAGTCAATGCTTACATGCCACTTCCTCTAAGAATTCCAGAAAGCTTTCTATTGTTAGTTATTCATGTTGCATATGTGCAGCATCTTCATTATCTCTTATCAGTATTCTTCCTAAACATTATGATTATTATAAATAAAAGTGTTCTTCTGATAGATATAAACACAGTTCAGGAATTGTTTGGTTTGTGTATGAATCCACTGCCTACTAACAGAGAGTAGTATACAAAGTAATACTTAAAGTAAAGTCATTACTGGACATGGAAAGGCCCTGTAATTGTAATAAAACATTGATTCAACAAAAATAACAGAAATCGTATGCACCTAATAACAGATCTTCAAAATTCAAAAAGTGAAAGTCAGATATGGAACATATTATTGTATATGGAACATTTACCAAACTAGAGAATATGTTAGGCCATAACCATGTAAAAACATATTACAAAAATTAAAAAAAAAACACATCATAGCTTATTTGCATTGAACACAGTAGATTTTGATTAGAAATCAATGACAAAAATGATAAAGTTACCAGATACTTGAAAATTAAGAAATATATGTCTAAGTAGCTCTCGTATCCAAGAACAATTACAATAAAAGTCAGAAAATATTTTGGGTTCTTGTGAACATGACATTTTCAAATTTACAGGATATACTACAAAGTAGGAGATCTACAATTAGTAAATCTGGAAAGACTTATATAGGCATTTAAAGATTCAAAAGAAAGAAGGGAAGCTTGTGTTTTTTCCTAAGAATGTATAAGTTGAATATCTAAAATAAATGTACAAACTTAGAATTAATAAAGAAATTAAATTCACTGGGTCTACATGGAGCATGAAATTTAAAAATACATTTATAAGGACATAAAACATCAACTATCAAGAAATACATCTAAAATAAGATACACAATAGTTCTTACTGAAAACAATATGTTACCAAGATAATTAAAGATGTCTAAATAGCATTTACTTTATAGAGTCATGTGCTTTTAATGAAGTGGAAGATTCAGTATTATTGTTTCCCCTAATACAGAATCATTACAGTATTAGTAAAAATCCCATCCCCACCCACAAATAATAATAAAGAAAAATAAAAGAAAGAGAAAACACCTACCTTTGTTATGAAGCCATCAATGTAACCATTTACTGGATTCTTACAGATAAGAAATGTAGCTGAATCTGTAAACTCCTGTTTCAAAGAGGAAACTTGGAAATTTCCCTTGTCTTACAAAACTGATAACACTGTTCCTGGAATGTTCATTTAATGAAAGAGGAGGACAAGCCAGTAGTAGGAAAAAAATCATAGCAGTTGTGTATGTGTGTGCATTTGTAATTTTACAAGGACTAAAAATAGCCAAAACAATCTTGAAAAAGTTGGAAAGTTTATCATAAAAACACACTTAGGCTCTCCCTGGTGGTTCAATGGGATAGGAAGCAGCACTGCAAGCTAGCTTCAGCCATTTCAGAGAAAGTTCAATCTCCACCCAGGAGGTGACCCACATGGCACAGACCACTCCTGTCTCGCCTGCTGCTCCTTTCAGCAATGTACTTCTTTAATCTGCCTGTTCTGTTCCCCACTCTGTGTCTGGTGAAGCCTCTCACTGCCCCTATAACTCTGGCCTGTACTCAGTTCTGTATGCATAAATAAATAATTTTTTTTTTAAAGATTTATTTATTTA